AAGTATCTACCTCCACATCCACCACCATCAAGGACATTACCAGTAATAGACAGGACAAACTTCAATCCTCTGCAGGGGTATACACAATCCCTTGTAATGACTGCAGCAAATTATACGTCGGCGAAACATCCAGAGACCTCCAAACACGTATTTCAGAACACCAGTATGCAGGCAGATCTGACGATTCAAGGAATGCCTGTGTTCAACACCGAAATTCACACATCCAATTAATCAACTACAGAAATGCAAGACTTGTCACCAGAGAAGACAACACTCATTATGGAAGAATCCTGGAATCATCACTCATCTGTATATCCAACAACTTCAACCAGAACAACAGCTTCTATAACATAGCTGAACCCCATGCCAAGAAACTTCTTCATTGCTATCCCACATAAGAACAAAATAATGGAGGAGTACTGCAGAAGGTCTACTCGTATACTTATCCAATTTCTCTTCAAAGCTACCCAAGGTTTTAGACTCTATGATCCTATTAGGTAGATTGTCACATGCAGCATTCTCCACTTGACCCAGCATTCTCAACCTGACTTCATCCTATAAATACTCATGTACCTTCCACCCAGCTAGATCTGTTTGTGATTTGATAAAGCCCAATGTGTGGGCGAAACATTGTCAATAAAGGTTCACATTGTACTGCTTGTGTGTTTATATTTCTTGGACCCTGTGGATGCTTTTCAGATTGGGAGGCTGGGCCCTCACTCAAGGGATCAAAAAAAAAAACTCTTGTCTCAATTCACTTCTATATAAGACACTCACAAGCCTGCTGGATGCTCAACCATCTAAAACTCACTTTTTACCCACCTCCCTCCAACTATTCTTGGGACAAACCCTTCCCCTCCTATCTTCCACCCCAGATTTATACACTTTCGTCAGCCTATCTCTTGCAACCCTCTCTACATATCCAAACTACCTCAACAACCCCTCCTTAGCCTCAGAATTATGCCCTTAATAATTGCATGATATTCACATCATAAAATGCTCTCAAACAAGACATACATCAGTGTAACAAATTTCATGAAACTGAAGTACAGGCAGACCTCTTACGGAGCATTTTTAATAGAATGCTATTCTTCTTTCAACAAAACGGTCGTATCCCATCGAAAGAATGCTAGTCATACTGCCATAAAAGGTTTCAGACTGTGGCTCAGGCATGAAAACTTTTCTCTTCAGAGATTTATATGGCCAGGGGAGAGCTGGTTGCTTACTCTGGCTCAATATGGCACATGCTGCAGTGGCCCTCATTACTTCAACAATGACTGACCAACAGCTGTTGTCTGATTAATAATGCCAAGGCATAATAGAGGGTCTCTGCATTGCAACCCACTATTGTATACACACAATCTCAATGTACTGTTTGCAAAGACATTAAATAAATAAATAAATAAAAAGTATAAAGATGGCTCAGATTTGTTTACTACTCAGTAGTCATATAAACATCACTAGACACTAATTTATTAACCAGCAGTAAAACAACAAATTTAAGTGGGATAATTTTTTTAACACATCTGCCATTTCCCACGAGGCAGAGGCGCTCATATACAACAGTTTAGGTGTCACTCCAAACAGCCAATATCCCAAACTCCTCCTCTAACGTGCAGGAATTTTTCTTTATTATAACTGAGAAAATTTTGTAGTAAAATATGTGATGGTATCACAAAACGAAACGAGTGACCTCATTTAATAAAAACAGACCACCAACAGCCGTCTACTGCACTAATGAGCTACATAACCATCTCGAAACATTTCTGCATCAACATACAAGAGAGCAAATAATTTATGGCAAGATATAATTCTTCCACCACTATTATAAATAAGAAAATTGTATATTAAATTGCCTGATGTCATCAGCTGATTCAGTGTATGAGAAGGATCAACTAAATATAAAACAGACAGATCACAACCATCTACTAATTAGTAGTTAAATAATTATCAATAAACAAGAGAACACAGAATTTATATCAGGATAAAATTCTTCCTTTGCAATTATTATAAACAAGAAAATTGTTTAAATGACAGTCTTCTAGAGAAAAGTATGAGTGGTATCAGCTGATTATAGACAAATGAACCACAACTGTCCACTACACAATGAGCTTCATAACTATCAACAAACAAGAGAAACAAAGAATTTAAAGTAAGGGGAAAACTGTTCCTAGTTACTTTTTTAAACATTTTATACTGCTAAGATTATGTATTAAATTTATAAGTTACTAGCAGTATCTGTTTTTGGAAGGATTGGATGATACACTGCATCAAAACACAGACTCCAACATCAGCATTTGCTGGGCCTTGACAAGTACTGTAAGTTTATTTATCAAAGTTTTTATTTAGGATTTGGGTACATAAACATTTCTAGATCAACAAGCAACAACGTCTACAATATTTGTCGAAAATTTTATTATCTTTTGTGAAACAAATTTAAAAAACTGATTGTTTTTGGAGGTTTCATGAACTTAACATAATTTTTCTCACATATTATTCACATTACAGTGCAAGATTAAAGCACTGATTTCAGGAACCTAACACGCATGTTGTATGAGGTCTGCCTATACTTTGAAAAATACTATGTTATAACTGTTATGAATTAATGAGTATAGGAAATGTAATCTATAATCCTGTACATGTTCAAAAAATTCTTCCCACATCCCCTCACTGTATAGCAAAATTTTTTTAAATATACAAAAAAGTCTTAAAAAGTAATTTATATTTAACAAGTTGTATACAGGTCATCAACATACAAACAGGTGGCATTATTGTTTCAACTTACATAAAAGTTGTTTTACAGACAACCATAGTACAAAGGATGGTTACGTTTCAAACATGTTCACACTGCATATTAGCGGCTGTAACAATTTTACCAATTTATAAGTACTATGGCTGCAACTGCAGATGTTTGCAGCTAGAGAAGTTTGTAAGCTGGAGACCTCTTGTACATATTTGTCTTTATGTAAAGTAAATGTATCAATAACTGAATGCTGAAATCTAAGTACAAAATTATCAATCAGACTGGAGTTGTCACTCAGTGGGATAAAAAGGCAAAGCAGACATAATGATCTTCCTTTGCAATAGCTTGAATTAGCTGTAATCCCAAAAATGGAAATGTAACATCCAAAAAATCATGACTTCCAAGGGTAATTGTTTACAAACACTAAAACATTACTGTTCTTTCTCCAACACTGCAAAGTCACAAGATCAGACTCCCTATCATCTGAGTGAAGGTATCCCTAAAAAAACCTTACTGATAGAAATATTTATATTCATTTCTCACATGCTCAATATGTATATACAAATATGTACTGTAAAATGGATACTTATGTACAAAGGACAAATGCCGCTAAATTAAGAGGATTTCCTAAGAAATTTTATTATTATTTCTTTGGTTATCTTTTTTATACATCACATAAACCTGACATAGGAACTGAAAACAACATAAAATTAACACTCTGCATGGGGTACACTTAAAGAGGTTTTTATTCATATCGAACTGAACTAGAATCTTGACTAATTTGATGCTTCCATAATTATACATATTTTTCACGTACATATATATCAAGCAATTGTATAAATACACAAATATTTTGCTTGTTACATAATTTAAATTGTGCTTTTGCTTGTTACATAATTTAAATTGTGCTTTTGCTTGTTACATAATTTAAATTGTGCTTTTGCTTGTTACATAATTTAAATTGTGCTCACATTTGTACAGAATGACTTGCTTACTAGTTTGAGGACTAAAATAAATGATACAAGTAAAATTCAAACAATTTCATAATGTTTTAAGTAGAATGACTTCCACATATGGAATGCCACTCAATCCTGCATGTGAAACCAGTCTTTGTCGCTAATTATTAGGATGGTTGCCTTCCGTATGACTGGGCTTAGATGGGTAACTTGAAAAGTAGACAGCCAGAATAACTGTTAAGAGTAACAAGACGACAATGCCAATGAACATGCATATCAACCTTTTCTGCAAGAGGAACCAAGGTAAGCAAGGATGTAGGTAACGTGCTGAAAATTGTGAATATGAAAAAAAAAAAAAAATGTATGCAGAAACACAATATTAGCTAACTTTATCAAATGTAAATAAATGCAAAAATAACTGAACATGCAAAGTACTGAATATTAATTATTCAAGACTTTATTGAAAGATTGAATCTATAATCAAACTATAAAATTAATAATAAAAAAATATCAGTATATCAATATACAAAAGACCATAAAAATAACAGATAGGAAAAACAGAGGCAGTATACGTCTCATACTGTTGTGACAAATACTTGAGAATGAACACACACAGCACTGGTCTCAGCTGCTCCCATGAAGGAGAGTGCCTTGATACTAAAAGGATCTTTATCCAAGGAACAAGAGTTACCCTATCTTCTCTTGGATAAAACCTCATTAGCTCCCATTCTCCAGGTGCTGTATTATCCTTCTGGGTTTAGCACTTTCCCCATGAACATTGTAATACTAATCAAGCGATACACCAGTGTGAACACAAGACTGCCAGACACCTCACAGACACAAGCATATATCATCTATACTCAAGATATGTGCAATAAGTAAAGCAATTCAGGCAACTGCTGTACTATGCTTTTATATTTTACTCTAAGATTATATACTACCATGAGTAATAATGAAGATGTCAGTTTATAGTTATCAATCTTGATGATAATTTTACAAATAATTATTTGAAGAGAAGCATAAATTATACAGTACTGGATCACTTGCAAATACATCAGGGTATATTTGTTAGTAAATGTGCAATTGAGGTGCCACATGTACCTGTACAGTAGTAGGGGTAAAATCCATGGTTTTGAAATATTCTGCACATTTGGTGTCAATGCTATTTATATCTGCTGAAAAAATCAGTTGTCATAGGGCTTGCGAATTAATCATTTCATGGAGATTATTGTAATAATTAGGGAACATACTAGCAATTGCATAATGAATGATCAACTGTAAATAACAATAGAAGTACTTACTCTTGCATGTCCATCTGATGTATTTGTGGTGAGATTCTACATCCTGTTTGGTTATTCTGAAGTCGAAATCATCCCCAGAAGTCTCCACATCATGAATATCATCGGAGCCTGCCAGAAAGCTTTTGCAGATGCTCCTGTTCAGTGATGATGTCGAAATACCATTGCCAAGTTTATTTTGTCACAAATGTTACAGGTACCACTCTTAGGAGGCTCAAAATCAGAAATGAAGTCCCTATTGAATACACCATGGTAAAAATTAGGCATTACTAGTTCCACATTTTGGTATTATTCCTTCACCTATTCAACGTAAATTGTGTAGATAGCATTCATTAACTTCGCTTCTGGCACGTATTTCCTAAGGAGGCTCTTTGCACAAGGGTAAAGGTTAGGCATGGTCACAAGCAAATTAATGTCTCCCTAACATCATGTGCCACTGCAACCATATTATTTATTGAAGACATTTACCATGTTTATCAACCCTGACTGTGCCAGTAGCAGTGTTTCACATGCACAGTCCTGGCACACTTTTCTGAAATAGTGTACATGCTGTAAAAATGCCTTAGAATATATTATACACAGTGCACTTATACATCACTGTGTATCTGATGACCCTCATCACTCTGCTAGCTGCATGCTTCGTAAACCTTCGCTTTATTGGCATTTACAAGTTTATAAAGACATGCATTTTGCACAATGAAGTTCTCAACTCCCATGATTCAAAGATCACTTTGACTGTCTCCATTCCATTCTTATTAAAGCATCCATTTACATGTGTTGTATGCCATACCAAAATTCCTCTTCTGCTAGCTGCATTTTTTCATGCTACTTAATTCCTTGGGCTTCTCCTACAATTGCTATACCAGAAGCAAATTCAATATCAGGGAAACTTACAATGTTGTATGTGGTAATGTTAATCAACTTCACCATATGTCCAAGATTGCCACTAATTCCCTCCATTTCTGGGCTGCATTGTTGTTACTCTTTGAGAGAGGATGCAATTATGCTGCCCTTCACCAGTCTTACCTTACATGTGTTTCTTCATATAGTAGGGGTGACAAGTCATATTCAGCTTAATTTTACAATATTGTGTCACCCCTACTACTTGCAGCACCTCAATTGTAGATCTGATTAGCAAACTCTAATTATCTTCTACTTGAATAATATATTAAATTTTTTATGCATTATACTGTATAACACTTCAGATGCCTATTTTCTCTTATAATTTGTACAAGCAGACTACAGTCTCCTGCAGTGTTAGGTTATTGCACACTAGACTCCATAGCACTACACTTAAAAAATACAAGCAGTCAGAATTTTTTTTAATTCTATTAAAAGCATGAGTTAAAAAAATAGCTGCTAATGGAGCACCAGTAATATACAGACCACCACCACTATCACTATATAGAGCATGCATGTGGAAGACAAACTTTTAATCATTTGTAAACATCAAATTCATGTTACTCTGACCCCATGAATATTTTAGCGCAAATACCTGATGCTTTCCTCTGACATTACCATTCCCTCATACATTACACAATATATCTGGACAATCAATTTGACTACTACTACTAAGAATGTGACCTAGTTACTTAATAGTATATTATCACATTATGCAAACCTAAATTAATACAATTAGGCTTTAGTTACAGGTGGGGAGGGGGAAATGGTACCAGATAAACTAGGATAAACAAATTTTACACATCAGTATGCAAAGGTGAGCAATGAAAACCAAAAAAAATATTTACAATAACACCATGATATATTGCCTGAAAGGAGATTATAAAACTTTCATATGGATAAAATATATTCAATGTATATTTACTGAAAGAGAAACTCAATATAATGCTATAATGATTACTTTGGTAAGTGCATTACTCCAGATTAATAACATATACAAGTAATTAGCATAAAAACTAGTAGATTCCATAAAAACTTAGACACTATGACATGACAACTCCAGTCAGACTACATTTACATATTTGCTTTCTGCATGGATTTGTAAAATATTCTCACAAAGTAAATATAAATACATGAAGTAATTATTAAATGTAGTTTGCTTAAGAACTGTCATCAATACTGGTTTACCCATTTAAAAAAGATCAAGCAGTTTATCACTTCCTTTCCAGCAAAACCTGCATACATTTTTGTAGCAAAGTATTTTGTAAAAACTTAACAAATACACTACTGTATATGTAACCTTTGACTTTCCATTAAATCAGTTATTTAACAGAATACATCCACTTTTAATTGCTATCATTTTCTTCTAAAATATGTATAAACAATACAGTAACATCCACAGAAGCTAAAATACTTTTAATACAAAAATTATACAATTACAAAAACTAGCAAGACAAAAATGAAAGACTTTGGAGTTCTTGATAAAAACTGCTTGAAAACCTTAGATTTACCCGTGCTGATGGAATTAATGACTAATGCAATCAATTTGTAGATCAGCGACATGTGGGGGATATTGTATTGTGTGTCTGATGACGACCTACCAACACATGAAGGATTACTTGTAGTTAGGCTACAAGACACCCAATTCAGAAATAAGTGGTAAGGCTGCCAAGTTTATAACCCCTTCCCCCATTATGTGGACTAGATAGCACTCTCACCAACTCTTCATCACTACCGCCTACCAAATTTGTCTTTCATACTGATCCTTGTCAGAGTAACCTCTACAAGTTTGCTGCTCAATAGTGATGAATCACCAAAAATCTAAAAATTATAATATATTTGGCACATTATATGCTATGTAGCAACTTCCATACAGGCATCTTACAACCATGGTTCTTTACCTACAATAACTATATGCTACTTCTCTCCAAGGTTTGCAAGCATTAGCTTATTCCAGGATTTCCACCTAGATTAAATTCAAATAAATTGTTCAGAAATAGCTCTAAGAAAATTATATAACCTCATAAGAGGCTTCTATCTACTACATACATCTGGCACTGGGGAAGACTTATCTGGAATTTTTTTTTTTTTCTTTTGGAGACAGTAAAAGTCACTGGTACAATTACTGAACCCAAATTATTCACATCAAATGTATACTTTTCATTTTGTCTATTTCATAGCATACACATGTATTAATTTTAATACATTTTATAATTATTAAAACTTGTAGTCTTGGACAACCAAACTGCTAGTTAATAAAACCCATAAACATTACTGAAGTTATACTACTTCTAATTTAATAAGTTTTTCCACTCTTCTTTCTAGACCTTGTTATGTAAGGACAGTCTCCACTGACCTCCTTAATGTTTAAAATACTACACTTACAAATTAATATGCTCCCTTACTTAAAACAGAGTCCAAACAATGAGTTTCTTGAAGACCCAAACAAAAAACAAACAAAAAAAAAAAAAAAAAAACTAGTTCTCCGTATGAGCACGGTACAACCATGGAGAAGAGCCTACATGGCCAGTGCTACCTGCATACTTCCAACACCCTCTACCAAACTACCTGCTCTATGAAAAAATTATTCCTACAATAAGAGCAACAACTAATAACAGAACTATAACACATATGATGATCATAATTTTCTTCTGTGGAGAGAAAAGAAAAAAGGGAATTACAAAATAAATAATAATGGGTATGATACAAAAGTTTCTATGAACTATAACAGAAAGGCTACTCATGTACAGTAACTATTGATAAAAATAGAGGATTTTTAAAATACAGTCACAAGTATATTGACAACACTGGTATTTGTTTATCTCAATGATAGAAAAAAAATAAAAATTACTCAAATGTTACTTTTTTGTATCCATGTTATAGATATGTATATAAATATAATCAAAAGCTTCAATATTAATATTATAAGTCAAAGTACTGGATTTAAAACCAAATTAATTTCAATAAAACACCAACTACAAGAGCTATGACAGCACTAATAACAATGAACTGTAACAAAGTAAAAAGGAAAAAAGTATTAGGTACTGTAACTAATGCCAACAAAAGTCAAATTAAAACTAATCAATATCAAATAGCCACTTACAGCATTCTGTCCACATTAATAAAACTATCTCTATTAGGAAGCTAAGCAATACTAGACAACATCCAACTCCCACATGGCTTCACAAGAGGGAAACACACCATTTAATATATACTTGTGATACCACTTTCATTATCCAATACCAGTGATCAACATGGAAAAAAAGCAAAAAAAAAAAAAAAAAATAAATAAATAAAAAAAAAAAAATATTTCCATGGGGTACTAAAGGAGAAAATCAGAAAAAGATGCGTCTTGTTCATCCATACAAAAATATGAAGGAAGTTTTCCAATTAAAAATATATTAACACTACTCTGGCTAAAACTAAGTTTGTAACAAGATCAGTCAAAATCTACACATGAACCATTTTATGAACACCAGCTCATCCCAGGTTAATTCCCTCACCCATCACTGATCGAGTCACATCTACAACTGAAGGAAACCCCTCCACCCCACCCCCAAGAAAATAGAGAATATGAACAGAAGAACACCAATTTTTAAGACACCCAAAGGAAATGAGAAAACGAAGAGATCAAGCGATAACAATCACCAAGCAACCCAGCCACAGCAGCTGCCCACACCCACTTTATCATTAATTCTGTTTTGCTACTTACCCGCCGTGCTTTGCTTTGGTATCTGATGGCTTTCTTAGTATCCTGTTTGGCAGTGTCGACATAGTCCTGTGCTTCCTGTACGTGATTCTCAATCCTATTCATCAGTTCACCCTGTAGTTGTGGCCAGGGGATGGGGGTGTATGGGGGATAAGGATTATGCAGGATGCAGGATAGGATTAAGGATGGCAGGATAAGAAGGTTGGGATAGGTTGGGTAGGGAGTCAAGACAACAGAGAGAGAGGCAGAACACAAAGATAAAAGAGTAGGTTAAGGAAACAAGGCAAGGTTGAGGAGACAAGTGGCAGTGTAGAATAGAAACCAAATAAACCCGAGACGTATGAAAAGAGGACTTTACAAAATGTTGATCACAATGGACAAATGTTATTTGCAAGGAACAAGGAAAAAGGTTTGATAAAGGATACAAGTATTGGACAATAAATATCCAAGGAGGGAATCACACAAAGATTGAGGAATGGACAGGGTAAACAGAATGTTAATACCATAACAAATTATTGAAAACAGGATGGAGGAGGTACCAAAGAAATAATTTGTAATGGTACCAAAAGGATATACAGGGGAAGACACGGCAGTCAAGTGTTTGTAGGAGATAACAAGAGGTTATATAGGGGAGAGGCGGCAGTCATGTGTTTGGAAGCCATTAATATCCAGATAAACAGAGAAACAAGCACCGGGAGACAGTCATCACACATTATTGTTGTTTCAGTGGAAAAGATCATTTAACAGTTTCAATTGTAAGAGGTGTTTGGTTTTAATAGTTGCAAGATGAATAAACATCAGAGGGAAAAACAGTTGCAGAATATTAATAAGGCATTAGTAACAGGAAACATAATCACAATTAATTAATTGTAGAAATCATTACAGTAAACATAGAGGGGTTAAATGTATAGAGAGCATAATGAAGTATTAGTTAGTCCATGCCAGATGCAAGAGTGCAGTGAACGTGCAAAACAACAAGTGAAAGCGGAACATATATGACAAGTTACCAAGCCAGTTACAATAAAAAAAAGATCAGAAAGTAAAGAGAGACATCCCATGGATTTTTGTGTTGCAAGAGGATAGCATGCAGAGAGGAGTCATGCAGATTTACCAGTAAGAAATATTGCATGAGGGATAATAAGGATGGGTCAAATATATATGTAGGAAATAAGGGTGAAAAAAGAGAAAGAAAAAATACATTAGCATCTAGCTGCAATGATGATATAAAAAGTGAAAATTCTGCAGGTTACTCACCTTACGTGCTTTGCTTTGATACTTAAGTGCCTTTTTAGTGTCCTCCATAGCTTTGCCGACATATTCGACGGACTGATCTACGTGATATTCAATCCTATCAATCATCTCCCCCTAGTGGTTGGTGGTTGATCGATCAATCGTGGGTTGGTGAGGGAAGCAGGCATAGAGGAGAGAGGCAAAGAGACACAAAAAACAATTAATGATAACACATTCAGCAACAATCACAGCTTGAAAAAAAAAATCCTTATGGTGGTGGCTACTAGACACCAATACAGATATAACTCTGTGGCTACTGTTGTGTACATACTTTTGTGTGTGATGTGCAAGGCCTACATTGGGTTATAGGTAAGGATATGAAATGCACAAAATTGGCATTCAGAAACAAAAAGAAAAACTATCTGAACAGCAGAAAAAAATATACTGCAGACAGTCTCTTGAATTAAGTTGTCTTTTCCAGACATAAAAATCAAACTGTCATTTCTAAAAGCATCTAAAAATGTGAGAAACCATTTTGTGCCTCAGAGTTTTCAGTATAAGTCTCATCTCTTTGGGTCAAAACTGGTAACCACATTGATGATTAATAGGTCAAAGATAGACTATGTCTGTTCATTCATCTAGTGAACAAAACAACAAAAAACCCTGGTAATCTACTCTGCTGTCATGCCATCATACACAGGGTAAACTATGTACAAGTCTACCTATAACCCAAGCACAGACTCCTGGCAGCGCACATACACAAACCTACGACACTGTTGCTCTTCTTCCTGTGCTCCCGACGATTTTATAAAGAAAAAAACTTACCCGCCGTGCTCTACTTTTATATTTCACTGCTTTTTTTGTATCAATGGTGGCAGTCTGGACATAATCCACTGCATGCTCAACATTGTACTCTATGCGATCTATCATCTCCCCCTAGTGAGGTAAATCAAAAAAGGATCACTGGACAAATATTATATAAGACTGAAGACTCCAGTTAAGCTTATGGATGAACACTTATAATTTTCATTAAAAGCAATGCTCCACATAGTTAAAATATTTATAGAGGGTGTTATGATTTATATGTATATTTTAGCATTCATTAGTTTTTAAACAACTGCCCCTATCATAATACCCTACAAATTAAACTTAGGAAGGCATGCATACTATTGCCAGGCACACTAAACCCTTTATTGCTAACAAAATTAATGATTTCATAGGAAAACCCTCAAAAAGAAAGTCCTGCTATGACTACAAAAGATAACTGTTCATTCCCATGCACAATACATAACTGGAATCTCCTGAACATAATCTGCATCCTTCAACCATCTTCAAATTTGTAAAATTTCCATAAATTTCTTCAATCCTTATAATAATTTTTTCACTTCATAAATCATGTGTGCAACAATAACTTACATGAAGCTACATAATTTGAGAAAACAGTTGAAGATGCCTTTCTATTCTACAGACTACAAAAAACCATCATTCAGTCCATCATGATTCAAAATCTGTGGCACTTAACAATAAATAGCAAGAGAGAAAAAGTTACTGTAGTTTTGTTAATTTCATTTAAGCCATTAATGCATTTCCTATACGACAGCTTGGCTTCTTTGCCATAATGATGAATTTAAATAAATACAAGAGGCTTGACAAACTTTGTTTACTAGTTAGTCAGAACCTACTGATATGCCTACTTATTTCTTCCTAAATAATATACGAGTAATAAAAAGACAGCTAAGCATGCATGTTACATCTACATATTCCTCAATTGTAATTATCTTTTCATACTGAAAAGATAATTTCAATATAATTTGACATGCATTAATCTTTCATTATTATTTGTTAATTGGCACTCTATACCAATTTATTTGTAAAATTAAAATGCAGATATGCATATGTTTGTTAAATAAACTATCCTTAATGATATACATGTTTACACTGTATCTCATTTTATATAGCAAGTAAATGAATCTTGATTCATATACACTTCCATGCTACCCATTAAACCTAACCAATATTTTTTTTATTATTGTCGTTATAAAAGTGTGCTGACACTTAACCAATATTTATCTTCTCGTACGTGTGACCACCCATTTCATTCATTTTATATGATCAGCAGTTCAGAGAAAGCATTCAGTTATGTACAGTACCTTGCAAGTAGCCACTTAGCACCCTACTCACAACAAGCACTCAAACTGCTCTACAAGCAAACTACTAGTTACAAAAAAAAAAAAATTGTCAATACATGTACTGATTTCTCTCCATTTAAAGATAACCTTTTATGTATTATTATTTTATTAGTTGTAGTGACAGTAGTAGTAGTGCTGTGGTAGTGGTATAGTCATCCCTCACTTATTGAGTGTTCACTTTGTGGAATTTTGGTTGACTGAAAAAGAAACTTAGAACCCTTCCTCCACTTAACTACTATCTTGGGCTTGTTTTATGACCAAATTTGCTGGACTCAGACTAATTAACTCAGTGACCGTTTCTTCAAGCAAAGACTGGCAGATATCATGGAAATACATGACATTTTGACAATACATTAAATTTCACTCTTAATTTAGATCCTGTTGACTTTCATACAGAAAGCTTAATAAGGTATTGTGGAGTGGGAAAGTGAATGAACCTATTTTGAGTGGAACCCTGTTATTTGTTTTCATTTCGAATGTCATGCAATGACAATGGACAATGGAAAACAAAACTACTGTGACCATGTGTATGATTTAAAATAGTAACTTTGTGGTGTATTTTATGGTTTTATTCTCAGTTTCTTGATATCAACTGATAAAATGGAAGCTATATTACAGAAACTGAGATGATTTTGATTTGTTTCAGGATGAAGTAACTTGAAAATTGAGCTCAAAGTAGCAAAAATACTTGATTTTTGTCAATATTCCAGAGGACACTAACCATGTCATTTGCCTAATACATATCAAATTGGCCCATCTAATATACGTTCACAAATGCACTATTATTTATACAATTACAGTGGTCCTTCAAGTTTTGAACAGTTCCCAACTTGAACAATTATGTAAGTGTATTTTTGTAAGAGCTATTGCAAGTGTATTTTTGGGGGTCTGAAATGGACTAATCTGATTTACTTGAACAGCCTTCTGGAACGAATTAAGTTCGTAACTTGAGGTACCACTGTATTACAGTAATGCAGTAGCCTACACAACAGTAAAGCTTCTATTTTTTTTTTGTGTGTGTGTGTGAATATTATAATCAAAAAGAAGCACTAAACCACAAGGGCTATACAGCACTGCTTTTTTGTGAATAAAAATTCAAAATGTAAAGCAAATGTAATAATATAGGAGTGGCCTGGCGACATGACTAATGAACAGAGGAGCTGTTTTAGTGCCAGGAATGTCTACATTGTTTATTCTGGACCCTATTTTGAAACTGGCCTTTTTTTTCTAATTGTGTGAAATTGGCCAAATCACCAATCTCTGATCACTTTATTGGGTAGATGAAATAGTTAAAGGAGCAATTTCTTGTTCTCACTGACAGAATGGAAGACATTACTAATGAAATAGCTAAGTATTTGGTCAACTGAAATAATGGAATTGGCCTAAAATTGAACTCAAAGTGGATGAAATTGCCGGTGTGTAAATGTTGCCAGGACCACTAACTTTGGGGAAGCATAATTCCATAAGTTTTCCATCAAATTTTGTACTTGTGGTTTCATTACCTTTGGAAAAAGATTTCCATTTCATAAAATAATTTTTTTTTTTTTTAACTTTTGGACCCTGGAAACAATTTTTAGATCAGGGGTCTAGACCCTCAAAGGGTTAAAGAATCACTGTTCCAGTCCCTTTCCTGCTTGTTAACCTTTTCACGGTTACTGACAACATTGCAATTTTTACAAAAGTATATAATATTCT